CATTTGTTCACGTTCAATGTCAGACATTTAGTAGATCTGTTTCTTAATTTTATCAGACACTGCAATTTATATGTGCGTAATACGCATTTGTACACATCATTTACATAAGGTTTTCATTAGTTTATACGTTTGCATACTTAATTTTACAAATAAACTTTAATTTTCCTTCACTCAGGCACATTAATCTTACTGATGCTAAATATATGTTTTTTGCTCATTAATCTGGCGTTCATTAAAGCATCACATTTGATCCTGTGGATGCTGTTTGAAATAAATGTAATTTTATTCATTATTACCATCTTAATAAATCTTGCCGATACCTCAAAAATACACCATCATGAGCGATTTTTTGATTAAAAAAAGTGGCGAAATATTGTCCTCAGAAAACGACACACAAATATGCTGCATGAAAACCAATGCCAAAATTGTGTAATGTTAATGAAACAAGTAATGTGCAATTAATGAGCTGGCGCTTTTAACTGTATATGATTCGGCAACATTTTGTCGGCTGTTTGAGAATTTTCTTATTTATCTTTTTAAAATCCCAGAATTTATATAAAATCAAAGTGATCAGTTGCAAATTTTCTCGAGCTATTCGCTACAATTTTGTATTTTCTGATGCTTTAGTATATCATTATCGGTTCATTTGTCGTTGTTTCTTCTTATGAGAGATCATCGTTTCGGGTAACTGTGTAAAATATAAGGTCTGTTCTTCTGTTACTTGTTTTTTAATTGCACTGTGTTAACATTTCTGCCGTCTTTCGGCAAAACTTTTCATACTTGGATGTGGAATTACCTAAACTTAACCCTTTACTGGCCCAATATGGCTGATAAATATTTCCGGAAAGGTCAATGTACATCCCTCTACAGGAATTTCCACAGCCTATGAAGGCGAATTGATTTGCGTCCGCAAGAATAAAACTCTGAGCCATAGAATACTGCCGGCAACTCGGCAGGGTCACGAGTTCGCAGCCAGAGCGAAGATTCTATTTTAAACATGAAGGGAATACTTAACTTCTCTGTTCTTGAAGGAGCAACTTTTTCCTGTTCCGGACTATGTCCGATATTCAAATGCAAATACCAATTTACATCTCCACTGAATCCGGCCGACCGCAAGAACCAAAGGGTTAAAGTCGGATGAATGTGATTAAACTGGTTCTCTATTACTTCTGCATTGTTGGCTTCAAAAGATCAACAGTGTAAATAAGGAGTATTATGTTCTGTTAGGTCAAAGAAAAGAGCTGCAGCTCTTTCAAAGAGATACATACATGCAAATGAAACTTGTTTTAAATTGCTTGTCTGAGTGGTAGTTTTTGATCCAGATCTTTTTCATTTGTTAGTGATTCATTATGTTTCGTTGTCGTTTGTAATTAGTGGAAATTTCAAGGAAAACACACAATCATCTTTTCAGTTGACATGCCATGCAATCTTTGCGTCCGACCAATTAAATTATATTTATTTTGAGGTTTACGACGCCGTTAGTACTTATTAATATCGGGATTTTGCATGTATTACAACATTTTGCGGTGAATGAATGCTAGTCAAAGTTATTTGTGGCATTTAATGTCTGAAACTGCAATCTTGCATTTAATTAAATTATAGGTTTCGGTATTAGTAAACGTATAATAAGCAATGCTTCATTTTGCTACTGCTGCAGGTGTTCTTAGTTTTTAGTTTATTTTTCCACAATGTTTCGAAATGTCGTACTTACACTCACTTTGTAGTTTAGTAAATTACTGCATCACATTTTAGTAATTTACTTTTTTCTTTTCTCTATCTCTATATACATATTTTAAATCTTGTATTTTGTGCCAGTTCCGCTTATATGCTTATTTTACGACCGATTAACTTCCATAATTTATACCGTGTGCTGCCCTTAAGCGGGAAGTTAATTTGTTTACTTAGAGCAATTTATTCATTTTTCACTTTTGAATTCACTGAATTCTTTGAATTTTCTGGTTGTGCCTTGTGACTAAATGACTTGGAATTCTCAGATAAACCCAACTAATCAAACTTTTCTCCTTGATAGCATGTGTAGTTTTGAGCGGTACGCATTTTCAATTCAATTAAATTGCGTTTCTAGAGAATCGCAATTGCAAGTACATAGTTTACAGTGCATTAGTTCAGAATTAAACTGAATATAAAGCGTTTTACAAAAGCATTAGAACACATACATATAGATATTAGATAGTTTCAGCTTTAAACCTAGACTTAAGAAACTTTTTTTCGAATCTACATCTGCACAAAATTCTGTACAAGTGAGAACACATTTTGTTTATCTATCCAAAATAAAAACCAAAAACGCGTTTAAATCATAGTAGAACTTCGACTATTCCACTAATGTGAAAATCTATCCTCAAAAAATCTCCATATAGAATTGCAGAAGCCCCATTTAATATCAGCCAAAAAGCTCGTTAAAACATTCCTTGAAACTTTTAATTAAAAAAGTCATTTGGTCTAATCAGCAGTTCAGGACACGACGTTGGTACGAAAATAGTTTATTAATCCTACGGCACACCAAACCAAATTTACGTTAAAAATAAGTTCTCCGGTTGGACGAAACGTATTTGTAGTGTAGAAATATCTATGATTACGATACATTTATCATCAAAATATATGCCTCTGTTTACAGAGACAGAGGTGTTCAAATAAACAGCTGAATTTCAACGATTTCAGAGATCTGAATATAACATTTCTTATTTATTTCATTTCTTCAATTATAGCGATTTCATGTTCTTTCGATGGCGCAAAAGTGTAAGAGAAAACCTTGATCTCGAATCAATTTTATATCTCTGACGAGTTCATTCAACTTCCCCTGGGGTTTTAACCGAGCTACTTGATGGCATAAAATCAAATCAAGATCAGAAGAAGTTTGCAGCAAATAAGCTGTCCTTATCGAATGGGTACATTTTTGAAGAGTAATTTTCGCTGTTGAAAAGTTCGTTAAAGGATCAGCACATTTCTTAAACACTATTTACCAAAGTGGAAATTATTTTTTTTTGGAAAAAAATTATATTGGAAAGTTTTCAAGTAACTTTCCAATATCTACAATTCCAGTTTTCTTCTTAATTGAACTTTAATTCGTTCCGATCTATGATTAATTCATAAAAGCTGGTCCGAGCTTAAATACATTTTTATTGAAACATTCGACAATATGTTTTTCACCATTTTAGATTGCCTTTTAAAGTCATATTTGTATAGTTCAATGACTGTTATGTATGTTTAGGGAAGCATTGATTGATTCGAAGTTGTAGGCATGTAACAGCAAAAGAAAACCATTAGCAGCGATCCAAAAGATAAATATAACGGCGCTTAATATGTGTAATTTATTGCTTAGCAAGATTCAATTGACTGTTAATTTAGCTTTTAAGGCATCTTTGAGGCGAAATGAAAAACGCTAATTTATCATTACCCGTTGAGAGAACGCAGTTCTGATATGCTTCATATATTAGTTTTGTAATTTGTATTCATTCCGCTGATGAACTGACTGCAAGTTTCTAGCTGTAAAAATTACATAAAGTTGTTGATATGTTAATTAAGGGAGATACAGAGGAATAAATATATCGTAACTCTTTTTTTGCTTAAAAACTGCACGCATTGCTGATTTTACTTAATCTAGTCATACAAGTTAATCATGACTACCTATCAGGAATTAACACAGTCTTACATTGTATCTTATTTTTAACATTTTGTATATTGAAAGTGTCGTATGTTAATTTATTAGAGGGTTTTAAACGCTTAATTCAATCACTTGACGGGAATAACATTTTTGAGTACACAAGACTCTGGAAAAATATCTTGGTCAAATAGAAGTGTAATGTTTTCATAGCCGCTCCGTTTACATTAAATTATGGCCATTCCTTGCTAACATATTGACGAATACTTGGCAGTGTTCAGTTGAACATATGGTATGGTATGCATTTATGTATTTACAAAAAAAATCTATTCCGTATTTAGCAAGAAACTTTCTTTAAGGATACGACCAGTTAGTGAACATTTCCAGGCGTGATGCATAAAACGCCATACAGGTTTATGACTAAAACATAATTGTTTCTTATCGATAGTTATGACTTAACGATCAATTGATTATTTGAATGAGTGCTGAAATTTGCTTTCCAAGCGATAAGAGAAGATTGTAATTGTTTCCAAATCAGCGTATGTGGGTCATGTGGATAGCAATAAATGTAATGGAAATGGGCTTATCGCAATTTGCAAACGCAAACGATTTCATCTAGTATAGTGAAATTCAATTAAAATTTCTTAATGCTAATTTCAAACGGCATATTTCTGCCATACAGCGAGCATTTTCTTTTGTCTTGCATCATGAGTCAATATTAATTTAATTATAAATGCAATGTTGCACATCAAACAAAGCCTTTGGTTTTTACTATACACGTCCGAGCTTTGGAAATTTAGGTTTAGTATCATAAAATGAACAATCCTGCAACATTTATATTAACATTATATTTTCGCAATTAATTTTCCTTCGCAATAATTAAATATGAATTAAACCCGTAATAACTGCAAGGCTCTATTGTGCATTCTTTAGCTACAAAGTTAATTATAGATTAGGTATAAAATATGTTCTTGGTATATTACGTTTATTTTTGGTTTAACATTGGATATTGTTTTTAGACAACAGTGATTTAGATGCAGTCGCATGATGAAAATAATCTATTTTTGACCCGTTTGGTAGACATTTTATTGAATTCGCTGTTTTTCATCATTTTCCATTAGTTTCAGCTAAAACATGTTAGCAATTAACCATGTTGATAAACCATAATCACAAGTTGCTTGTGACCATGTTCATCCTGTTTACATCTGCATTATCACGTTTTTATTAACAAATGTTAGTTGTGGTTAACCACTGGCAGAACGATTTGCCTTCAAACTAATGTTTTTACTATGTTTAAGCACATAATTACCAGTTTTAACAATAATGGAAAGCGACCTTCAACTCTATTACGTACTTATACATAATTCTATTAATTTTAACTCACCTGCAATCATTTCATCCCTTTCTTTCGTTGCAGTTTTACTTAGAAAACAATGATTCAAAATCGAACCCTGTGAATGGTGGCTCTAGGCTGCTATTCCTGGAGAGCTGTTGCTGATTGTTCCTCCAAAACGTTCCTTTTGGAGGCTGAAACCTATGTTATTCACCCATAGCAGCCAGGGAAGGAAGACTCCAAGGACTGTAGCCTTTGTTTTGACTGGAAAAATAACAACAGAAATTATTATACAAAGATATACATTGAATGAATAATCAGCAATGGAAGCTCTTACGGGAAAGTGACTTAAACCATTTAAATAAAGAAATTAAGATAATAATAGTTTAACGGCGAAATAGTCTGTCAAAAGCGAAAAATTAAAAAGTAGCATGCATTTTTTCAATTTCTAGATAATTTTCTCAACCTGCACAGTTTATTTTTATTAATGTACATATTTCATTTTTAAACTAATTTTCTCAAATCCTTTTAAGTTTTTCTTTAATTTAGTGCCTTTAAAATAATACTGCGTAGCAATTAACGACTAGGTATACACAGATATTTATCTTGAAAAAAATAAAATGCACGTTGAGCTGTATTCGATGGGGTTTTAGGCCATTTTAAGAAAATCCTACAAGAATTGAAAACTAATTTTGCAATTAAACAGCAAATCAAATTTGCATTGTGACTCTCAACAGTATTTAAATTGGGCACCAACTTACAAACAAAAAATGTGTATTTTTCTTTGAAAAAGTGAACTTTTACCGTAGCGTAGATGCTATAAATCAAATCTAAAGTATGATGATACTTCTTGCTCTGACTAGAATTAATTCATAATTGTATTGGTCTATTTTTCGACAAATTCGGGTTTTTTCTTTTAATTACAGGCAAAATCAATTAACCTTTGCGTGATATAAATCAATAATTTATATCGCGTTCAAATGTACCGATGGCGAGTAACACTGACATTTTCAAGTAGATACTAAATAATTCAACAATAAATTAGCCAAAAGAGATGTCGACTTAATTAGCCATAAAACGAGTTGGTTTTGCCCTGCAACTAAACTAAACCTGCCATGTTTATGATATAAATAACAAATAGCTTTGTGCTAATTCACGAGTGGAAACGCCCATGTTTGAGATTTGATTTGGCTTTAATTAAATTGGGTCACAGCATCCTGATTAGTAAATTCAGCTTAATCAATCTAATCCAAGTACAGGCCACCAGTTAACGGATTTTCCTAGGATTGGAACTACATAGCCAAAGGTATTTTTGATAATGAATATGTCTTGGTTAAAACCTCAATTGCAAAGTGCATCAAATTCCATGTGCTCATTTTGCAACCTTAGAGAGTAGCAAAATTATGTTGTCTGAAATACATCCACCTGTGTAACTAATAACGAACATTTTACCAATGAAAACCCATGGGGTCAGCAAAATTGAGCAATATAAATTAGGCAAATATACAGTGGGAATCTATGCGAAAACTGTTTATCTATGTTGAAGATCACCAGACAGTCTCCTTAATTATATTTTGTCCTTAAAAAGTAACCAGATATTTTTCATTCGTATTTGTACTAAAGCTAGTTCTTGGAACTCGTAGGATTATAAGCAATATTTTATGGAAATTATAAATATTTTTTTATAATTCTTCATACTTCTGTGGACATTTGATCAAAAATGACGACTTTTACTCTCACGTTGTATCTCGTAATCTCAATTATTGTAATAATTATAGTTTGATGATGTGATTTGGCACTCTACTTCTGATAAGTTCACAGCATGTTTACATTTTTGACTTGAATCATAATTTTTGAACAAAAAATAAATTAACATTCAATATGGCAATTTTCCGAAAAAGTGAATAGCTTTCTGGGGAAATGGTTTACGTTATATACAAATACATAGATTTCAATGTTGAAATTTGACTTCCTATTTCTGATGGCGTGCTAAAAATTGCTTCGTCATTTTTATTTTTCAGTTTGGTTTTTTAATTTTATGGCAATCATTTCTCGGAAGTTACAGATTTTCTCAGACAGAATGGTCTCGATACGAAAAAAGTGAAAAATGAGAGGGATTAGAATGCAAATAAATTTTCTTCGTGGTGAATAGGAGTAGAATACTGGTGAGATTTCAGGTTTTAAAGAAAACTCAAAAAACTCATCCGCTTCAAGGAATGACCGCGAAAGTTTATCTCTTTTGGTCGAATAACAAATATTCCAAAACGAATAAAACCATTAGATTCCACAAAATATCAACGCTACATATTCTGTGTTCTACTTAATTCAACGTATAGGAGTAGTAATCCGATCAAACCAGATGTAAAAAACATTCAATCAAGATTAGCTCGGCCTGTTGCTTCGAGCAAAACAGATTAGTCCAAATATTTGAAAACTCCTTACCATCATTAAACCGGCTTACCAAAAAAGTACTTCGAATGATTTATTAGCAAATTATTTCGCATCGTTCTGAATTACTATGTACATAAGTATTTTTGCAAAGTGATTTCTCCTCGAGACCTGTTTAGCTGGCTCAGTTTTAATTAGATTCGTTTTAAGATTTTAAACCGTCTGCATTAGCAAAAAATTGGTGCAACCATCGTATGTATTTCCAATGTTTCCATTGACCATAAATAGCTCATAAACTCACCTGCCAAATAATGGATGCCATAACTGGGCGTGGCCATCTTGCATATCCTCAATGCTGCTCGTTGTACTTCCAACTTCCGGCACATCCTCCATATGATTTCTCGATGAAGAGACCATTCCATTTGTCTTTCCGCTGCCAGCCATAACCGATTTGGATTTCGCTTGTATGCTGTGAGCACCAGATAGATCCATTGGAACTGATACACCAGCCTGTTTCTGCACTTCCGCAGAGGAGCACTCTTTGGGAAAATGAAAGGAGTTTAGGGAATTGGGCTTTTTAGTCATATGTGGTGGTAAATGTCGTGCCCCATTATTCTGTGCTAACATTTGCTGCTGTTGCTGGTGCAAAAGCTGCTGGTGTTGGTGCTGCCTGATCAGCTTCTGCTGCTGTTGCATCTGCTGGATTTTCTGGTGCTCCTGCATCATCTGATGGTGCAATCGTTTTTCTTGATCGTTGTACTGAGAAAGCATTAGACTTTCCCTGGTTTTCTTTTGCATTATAGGTGGACTTAGTTGCTGGCTCTGTTTGTTAGCCGGACTTATGTTGTTCTTATGGCTAAATGGATTGAACTGTGTTGTATCCAGTGAAAGACTGTTGCTTCCTTGGGGAAAGTTGCCCACTGCTAAATATGGGTTCTGCCAAGGCGACTGATTTGTTAAAGGCGTTTGACTAAATGCTGGGTGTATCATCCCCTGCTGCTGCGATTGATGTGACTGTGATATGTTTTTGGAATGTCCATTAGCCAGACGTGCGTTGTATTTATTTTGCTGACTTTGGTTCTTTTTCGGCAAGTTGCTCCGATGCGGTTGTGGATTTATCGGAGCATTCTCATAGGGATTCTTATTCTTTAAAATGTTGGCTTGCATCATTGCTTCTTGCCACATGGATAATTCAAACGGATTGTTAAATCCCATGTGCGGGACTGGTGGAAATCCGAGCGGTGCAGCTAGTTTATTGCCCAGCATCATTTGTATGCTGGGATGGAACTCCCCCAGTTGTCCAGGCATATATGGCAAAGAAGAAGCAGCGTATAAAGCTTGAATAAACTCATTGTGATTTGAGTAATTCATAGCTTCAAAGGGATTAGGGCATCCAGTCCAGAACAATGGATTGAAAGCCGCTTCGTTGGCTGCATCAATATCGTTTGCGAGAGAATTTTTATTATCTGGAGAAGCTGAGTTATTTTTGTTGAAGTTGTCAGCAGTCTTCTTTTTATTTCCATTATCTCCAGTAAAGTTTTTCTCGTTAACATTGTTATTTTGCTCAACATTTTTATTCCCTCCGGACTGCTTATGTGATGGCTTGATGTTTTCTGAATTCTTTTTGGTGCTGCTCGAGTTGCTTTTTATGGCCGCTAAAAGCTTGTCTTTATACACTACCAGAATGTCATCCAGAGAAACGTTTTTACTGGAATGGCCGCTAAGAATTTTCAAAATTTCTCTTCGAGGGTGCTGCAACAGATCAGGGAAAACATCTTTGGGGACCATCAGCGGATTTGGAATATCGATTTCCAACAGCAGTTGTTTGTATTCCGCTAATGGATCCTGCGTATCACTCGATGCCTTGAGTAAACTCAGCAACCTTGGAGTATCCGGAAGAATAAAAGTGTCTTTCTGCGACGTTTTCTTCGCGTTTTGCTCCAACGTCTCGATGTCTTTATCCAGCAGATTCTTCAATGTGATATCGTCAGGCTTCATTTTTTTTAATGGCGGCTCTGCATCTGACGGTGTAAAAATTTCTTCGGAGCATGTAACTGTAGGGCTCGCAGATTTACGACATTGTCCCAAATCCAACGGTTCCTTTGATTTGCGTGAAACATTTTCGGCATTAGCAGCAGCCGCCATTTTGCTTAGGGATGTGGCCAAAAGCGATTCTAAGAAAACGGATCTTGGTTTTGAGATTGAGGTACTTGTGGTGACAATATCTGGCGAGGCTGGAACAGCAGGAATCCCACTGGGCTGTGGCGATTGGATCGCTTCTGAATTCTGTGACAATGGACGTGGTGGTTGGCATTTTGGAGAGGAGTCGAATTTACGAATCGAAAGATCTGTTGGACCGTAGTCGGAGGGTTTATTCTTCAGAGACAAATCCAAGCAAATGGCAGTATCAGTTAATTCTTTATCGTTGGAAACTAACTGGTCTTTTTCCTGGGTGGTCGAGGATGCTGCTTCTGCGACCTCGCTTGTGATTTCTTCGGCCTCAAGTGGTTCAAAGTTGGTTTCTGGGGGTTGATGTGTAGGTTTTTCATCTTCCAGCTCTAAGGGAGCGTGGTCTTCGGGCAGGTCCTTGGAGGATTCGCTGTTTTTATCCTCATATTCCTGAGATTTGGAGTCGTGAATATCTGGCAGGTTTTCCTCCTTATGTTCAGCCTGCTGGAGGTCTTCCAGATATTCGTTTCTTATTTCATCTTGCCTCGGGGTTGGGGGTTGTAAGGATTCAACTGGATCTAATATTTCTGATGTGGTTGCTTCGCTTGGATACATCTCTGCGTGATAATCGATTGCATTATTTTCTGAGTAATTCTTTGCAGCGTCGACACTGTAGGTATTGGATGATTCAGGAATTTGATCTGTTTCTTCGCTCTGATCCCTGACAGTTTTGCTAGTTTCGTCAGAAAGGGTAAAGTTCTTATCAAATTTGCAGTTGTGGTCGAGCATGTCGTCGTCAAAGACGTCTTCTGAGCCGAATCCCTGCGGGCTTTGGAGAGACTGTTCCAACCGTGACAAAATGTCGTTCATGGACATTTCGTCGTCGTCGTTGTAACTGCACTCTTGCGATTTGTCGCCAGTATCAATTAATTCCGCTTCGATATCCCGAGATTTGGTGTTGAGCAGCTCATTGATTTCATCATCCACACTGTGACCCTGCAGTGTTGTTCCAGTTGTGTCTTTTGAAATGTCTTTAGGGATGGGATTCCAGTTTCCAGACTGCATGTGCTGCTTTAATTCCAACTCCGCCACTGCGAGCAAGTTCTCGAGCGGGCTGACGTCACATACTTTATCGGGCGTGCTGCACTCCGGAACTGTGCGCGCGAAATCCTGCTCCGGAGCATTGTTTACACTTTTTGTTAAATCTTCCGAGGATGGTATTCGTTTGATTTGTATGGTATGGGACGGTAGGAGAGACTCAATGTTGACACTTTCCGATGTCACCCAGGATGGTTCCGAGGCGGACTCGGTCTCTGGACATTGTACTGAAGTGGATTGTTGGCTTTTTGACTTGCGAGAGCGCCGCTTGTGGTGATGGCGATGATGGTGGCCATGCGATGACGAAGTGGAGGACGAAGATAGAGGCTCTTCAGCCGACCCCCGAGGGGCGGCCAGCATCTCGGTACGCGGGATGGCGCGCCAACCGTGGGCAGTTTTTGTTAATAAGATTCGATTTCTTTTGTCGTAATCCTCGCATTTCACGTCCACGATGCGAGTATCTTCTTGCCGGACCCACACGAAAATAGGGTTAACCCGCGGTGGTCGATCTAGAGCGGGCGATGAGCTGCGACTCTGTTTACTAACAGGAGCGGCGGCAGAGGCCCGGCGGCGGTGGTGGCGGCGTCGGCCGGGGGCAGCGGCGCGCGACTCCAGACAACGTGACCCCGCGCCCACATCGATCGACTCAGGCCGTCGGCGGGGCCGCCCAGGGCGCCGGGACAGGGCCGCCAGGGGGATCAAACCCGGCACGGGAGGCCGAGGCCCGCCGCTCATGGGATGACAACCGATGAGAGCATTCGCCCAGCAGCAAAAAGCCCTCGGTGGCAGACTGTAGCGACCGTAACCTCAACACCTCTACACTAGACTTACCGAACGGTCTGCGAACAACACAGACAACACAGGCGATCGCCGATCGTCGTTCCCGAACGTCTGCGAGCGGCAACGATCCACACGAACAACGTTCAACTGACGGACTGCCGGAAAATTTGCCTAGAGTTTGTTGGCCTGGGGGCGGTCGCTCACCAACCCTACCGAGTTGAGAGCCCGCCTCTTGTGCGCGTCCGAACAACTTTTGTCCCGCAACCCGCCAGCAGCTGCCAGCTGACGGCTCTGAACGCAACTACGACCTGACATAGTGCAACCTTGAGCTTCAACTTTGCGGTTGGCCGAAGACTTGAGGGGGTGTAACTGGAATTACCAGATGATAATAATTCTCTGACCTCAACGATACTTTAGGAAATTCCGGGAACTTAAGAACGTTTGAGTGCTGCTCGTCTCTGCAACGCGGAAACTAACGATTTGTCCTGTCACTAGGAGTGATGGGAAAAAGTTTCTAACTATATCATCCGGATTTAAAATAACGAATCCTCAACCAAACTATAAAACGATCAAGTTACTACTCGTACTCACTCAGACTTATTACTTACATCATATTACTTAYAACAAAACTGTTCCTGGAAAAGTTTACGAAGGCAGCTAACAATCCGATTGAGACTATGAGTTAAAATATACATTTTTTGACAAAAATCTCAAAATGAACTTTTYAGTTTCAAAATATTATTTTTATTGGCGAAACAGATGTTATCGATTAATATCTTGTAAGTATTTATTTATTAGAAACAGACAAACTATCGCKAAAATGATAACGGTTTTGGCTACAATAGCTATAAATAATATATCTAGTAATAATTCCAGGTTAGTGGTTAATTTAACAAAAGCAAAATCCGAATTTCCGAAAATCTATTCCAAGATTTTCGTAGGAATAACGACGAAACCGAGTAGGTACCTACTTGAATAATGAATCCGAAGAACGAGTATTCAAAAACAACCGAATCTCACGTCACTAACCAATTCCATTTTGGAGKGCTTATCAWTTTATTCCGTTTAACTGTTTGTAGTCGGTTAGTTTTCGAAAATATTTAAATTTACCCCTAAATTAGCTCTGCTAAATTGCATCAACTCTCACACCYTCATATTGCAGAAAAATATTTAAMAATGCATTAAGCGGGGCAGAATTGTACCTTTTGGATAACGGCCGTAACTAAGTACCTATTGYATAAAATTAATCAAGTTTTCTTTCAGTAGATTCCTATTTCAATGGTAAATACTGAATAAAATAATAGAAGATTTTATTAGTACTTAGTAGTAAAAGGCCATCGACCTATCTATATATCGGTCTTTCTGTCCTAGAAGATTTTATTATAGGTAGATACAATATGCATTTTCCCCAAAGTTGCATTTCGAGGAAGCTGTAAAATACATTAAAATATAGGTAACTTTATTGAGATCGAGAATTGATCATGTGAAACATGCAGTTTTGCTTTTGATGTATATTTTTTTATAAAACATAATTTGGGATCATATTTAGGAAAACATATATTCTATTAGTAGAACTGCATTATGGGTGTTTCAGTTTTTCCATTTTTTCTGGTAAATGAGTAATAATGTACGAAATCAACTTCTAACCGAACTAGAAATTATAAAAACAACCATTAATAAATCTGGTTGCTGAACATTCGATTAAAAGAGTTTATCAAAAATGGCCTTTCCACAAAAGTACTTTTTTGCTAGATTATAACAGTATTTGTCATATTAATAAAGAAAATTAGTCAGTTTGGAGGCATCAGCTAATTATTTTGGTATCAGCAAAACTTTTGGGGCTCATGTTCTATGATCTATACATCATAACCAACACCCAACAATTGAAATATATGTTGGTTTTACTGAAATTGCACCAATTTGTCATCAGAAAAATATCCAAGTGTAAAGTCGATGACGGCCAAGAACGACCAATAATAGGCCCACTTTATTCGTCAATAAATCGGGGAAAAGTGCGTAATGTAATATGGGCATCATAAAATCTTTGTAAACAGGCGCGATTGGACTTCGCTAAAAGAAAACTGTTTTTTCAATTCTAAGAGCTTCTTTAAAAACCCATCTACGTGCTTGAGGAACTACACCACTAATCAATAATTCTTTCATTTTCCTGTCAAGCTTTATATTTGCTTTAAAATGCACACAATTCCAAATCTGCAGACTTGAACCTTTGTGGGAGACTGCAAATTGAGATTAATTCAATATTTACTGTTATATTTCGTCATGGTTTAAAATTGGTGTTTCTATAGATACATATAAAGCAATCCGTCTACAAACAAAAATACCTCAATGACCTAGAACTATTCTCGAAAAGGTTTCCATTTAATTTATTTAGCTGATTATATATCTTATAAAAGATTATAAGTAAAAGTGAATATAATAGATGGCTAGTTTGAAACATTCACTTAGTTATTCAGGTGCTGTTCAATATATTATTTACATCTGTTCCGTTTTTCTATAATAATAAGTAATAATTAATGTTACAATTTTTCTAATGAGACAATGGCAGGTTCAGATTTTGTTGCTATTTATTTCTTTATATGTGTATCTCGGGACCCTCATGTAAATTGCTTATATGCGTTAGAAAATCTTCAGTTCTGCTGTGTTGAAATACCATTTTTAATTTTCCGATCATAAATGTAGGTATAATTTTACAGAAAATTTAATTCACGCGTTTTGCCAGCAAATTCGTATATCTACATTCATACTTACATACCTACTCATCTAACTAATTAATCCCGTTTGTCTATTATCTACATTGGGAAATGTAAGTTACTCGTGGTCGTATATTTGTCAATTTTTTTAACTTAGTTGAAAGAAGACTGCACCTTTGAAAATATACTGAAAATCGATTCCCAATTCTTGCTTATTTACATTCGACAAATTTATATATCAAAACAACCCCTGCTTCAAAATTATTCACACAATTTGCAATCAAGCTTATACAAAACGCACTCGTTCTTTGAATTCCTGGAAATATAACCCAGGTTTCATGACACTTATCACTAACATTTAAGTCCAAGCAATATTACCTCAATTTAGTCTGCAGACTGGTAAATATTTCACTTGTAAGCAGCGACCAGTAACCACATCAATTAAAAATTAACAGTGTATTCGTTTATAAATTAAATAAATTTCAATTTCATTGCGCCTTATAGAAACATCATTAGAACTATCGGTCAAAGGTTTTGAATCCAACATGATCAATGATTGGCGGCTTTTGGCTTGAATCGGAGTTTTTAATAATCTAAAATGTTCATATTTCCTCGTTTTTCCCACAGATTTAATTAAACATCAAAAGAAAAATGTTTTACATTGGCTAGCAATCGCCAAAAGGTAATCTTAAGTTTGTTAAAAACCTGAAGATTTTTGAGAAAAAAGAATTTTATTGTTGAAACTTCCGAAATCAAAATTGAAGTCCAATCACCGTAGAATCTTAACGAGGTTCTGGAAAAAGTTCGTTCAGAGCATGGTTTTTAATCAGATATTTGGTGAAGTTGGCTATCACATTTTCCAATCATTCTTTTCATCATGGAATTTGCAATTATGCTAGAAATTATAATTTCAGTCACAATATTCAAGTATAAAATATATATCAAGTATAAAATACGTAATTTATGGGTTTTGGAGTTACACAACTTTTTTATACCGTGACAGTTACATGATCATGCAACAATTCATTGAGTGGATTTGCAACTTTCAGAGCTCTTTAGTAATTAGGTGATCGCTTCTGGCATTGAAAAACGCTATAATCTTTGCGGTGCGAATACAGAGGGTTCTAAATTTCGTCGATTCTAACAACCACTTGTCATGGACGTAGTCAATATGTCAATTATCACAACCAGGGGCAATTACTTGCGGTTTTGGGCACGAGCCCTGCTAGGCTGGGTGCTGTTTAAGAGACCATCGATTTGTAAATTCGGACGATTCAGTTCGTTTTTTCGGTAGTAACGCATATTTAATCAGTAACTTATCGGTTTTTTCAGTCACTTTGTCCTGTGTTTTATAACTTCCAATTGCTACGTTTCGTTTTGTTAATCATCAGTAGGTAGGTACATATTTTCCTGATTGTTACAGCGTTTGAAGCCTGATCTAAAAGATATCTGATGCTGTATTGGGTTCGGCTTTTGTTTAAGTATTCGCAGTCTTTTTTAAAATTTGATCCTGAATGAGTTTATATACTTTTGGTGGATAAATTGTACGATTATTCTTGAGAAAACTGCTTACTAAAACCAACTGTAACTCAAATAGTGACCATAATGAACAAAAAATAATGTTTAGTGATTTTGTTATCTATTCTTGTTTTTGCTAGTCTTGAAGGCACGAACCTTCGCCAAAGCACGATAAAATAATTGAGTTTCGATAAAATAGTAGTGATCAGCTATTTTATTTTCTTGTTTTCAGTTTCAGTTATCTTTTTCAATCGCCAATTTTATGTGTATACACGTATTTGTTTTACCAATATCAACTATTCAAAATGAAATTGTTATAAAAAACTTAACACAACCTGAAATAAAATATAGCTACATTACACAAGCGAAACAAAAAAAAAGATTATTTAAGGTGGAAAGAGATAATATTATTTCTACATGCTAGAGCTGAGGTATAGGTATATGAAGGTTAAAATCAGACAGTATAAATAAAGATTTACATCTGATTTCTTCTACAATCAGTGACAGTCAAAACGATTAGTCATACCTGTCCTACCTAATATGTACAGGAATTAAAAATTAGCTTTAAATCGTTGGTACAATTTTCATATTAGTTATTACGCTTATTATTTGGGTAGATCCAGGTGTATGGTTTTTTTTTAATCCGATAATAATGCGGGGATTTTTTGTCATTTGGACCCCGGTAGAGTCTTTACGTATTTTTTAAAACAAATTGCTAGTTAACGCTTTTAGGAAGTGAAAATACTGATTTAAAATAAAATTTAGATTGGTTTTATTATAGATTTTTCAATTCAGATTTATATACCTGTCATTTTTCAAAATTGTTTTGTTAATCGGTTGTTTACACCCAAGACTAAAAGAATATAGAAAAAGTCAAACTTATTTTTACAATTATATGTTATATTGAGCAATAACAAGTATCTTGCTGACTTTGTAAACATCAGAAACGCCTAATTTTGGGGAATATCTAGACATTATTCTTGCCTGAAATTGAACTCTCAGTGCCATTCCATTCTGGTTTAGTTGTCTACTTTTCGCCCCAACCCCTATAGGCTGTTGCCTGTGACAAGTTCTTTTTGATTTCGGCTCTTCCACCCTACGTCAACAGCCACCCTCCCTTTATACTTTCTAAATGACGTGAAAACGACTTGGTTTCGGATACTTTGACATGTAAATTGGCAAGGCAACATCGCTTAATATTTGCATATATCTTTGTATGCAAATATCATAAAGCATTTTCCAGTGTCTTCAAGTAAAAGTGAGAGCTGCGAATTGACAGT